ATATATATATATATATATAAAAGATTTACAACCCATTTTCTTCATATTGCTTCAAATGAATTAGCATGCAGAGAAAAGGAAGGATTTCCTACTTTCATTCAATTTTTCACAGAAGAAACTGATAATCTAGGAAACGTAACAAATCGAATTGAATGTATAACTCAATCTTCTCTAAAACTACACAACATGATTCCAAAACATCGCAGATATAGTAAATTACAAATTCGGATAATCCTCAAATATGTCCTGCCCATCTGTACAATAAATTGATCAAAAAATTAGAAAATCACATTGAGACTGACAGATTGTTTTTTAACCCCAAATCCAAACTAGAAGGAAACAAGTTCAAGGGGATAGTACAAGAACTGCCCAGTTGGGAACAATGCTATATCATTTTTGTTTAAATCTGCAGCTTCTGGTATGGAAATTAACATTAAAAAAACATAAAAAACTTAATTGGTCATTCTGCAAGGGCGACTTTGACCAAAATTTGGCCGAAAGAGGGTTGGAGAACAACAACTTATTAAAAGTACAGAGCACATGAACAATCAATCATTATCACTTACATTTGGCTATGGATTATCATAAAGATATAATTGAAACCATGGGAAGGAAAAGCTGTACTTAATACCTAAGTTTAATCATGACAAAAATATAACAAGAAGATAATACTAAATCAGCAAATAGCGAGGTGCAACCAGTAAACTCAAAACAACACACAATCTTTTATAGTAACTGTGTTTTTAATGTTGCTAATAATCATAATAAATATTTTTGTATTGATTTTAATTTGTTTATCATTCGCATGTAACGAATTTTTATAATATTATTAAAAACATCGTTAGTAGATCAACTCAAATAAAATTGTAGTCATATATTTTTAGTGATTAGGGAAAAATAACCAAACATTAATAATTATTTTAGTTTTAATAGTATTATAAAATTATGTAAATAAGAGCGAAATACATGATTTATATTAGTCTAAATAGAATTTTAGAAGAAAATAATTGAATTACCTATTAAGTAAGATTACATCGACATGGACTACAAGCCCATCGAAAATTTCCAAGGGGTCATTTGACCCAGCATGAATTACTTATAAATCAATACTACCACATATAACAATAACTTTAGAAACTATGCCGTCAATTCTCGTTGATACAGGTGAGTACACAGGTAAGCTAAACCTGTCCACCAAGGGGGGTGATTTTCCGCAAAACATTTTTGTACGGTATTTCTAAAGTATATAGGTTATACAAAGAAAATTGAACCTCGTCCTAATGCCGTACAAAAATAGCAGTACCGGAAGCTAGGAAAATTTTTGATTTTCCGAAAATTTTGGCCCGGGTTTTGGTGATTTATTAGAGTACAGCATTTATAATGCCGGATCGACATATAGATAAATTTTTAATCGACGCCCGCTGTACGTACTTGCTGATACAGGGGTTAGGAATACAGGGCACAACCCTCTATTTGTAAGTAGCGTATGAGGGGTGATTTGAACCAACATCAAATTCACTAATTTTAATTATATTTTATAACATAATGACATTTTTGCTTACATGTGCTTACTATAGGAAAATTAATTTTCCTCTGAAAAGTAGGATTTCACGGTGAAAAATTTTTATACGGCATTAATATATTTTGTTAATACTGACAACAATAACCAACAAAAACAAAATGCCGTAAAAAATGGTTCTAAATGGCTTGAAATATATTTTTGCAAATAAGAATTAAGGTATCTGTACCAAATAAGGCCAAGCTCCTAATAAGGCCAGAGTCTTTTTCTGTCAAAACAGGTAACTTTGCCACGAAACAGAATACTGTAATTTAACAGCACTGTAATTTAACAACTCTGATTCTGAAGGCAGCAGTGATTCTAATGATGTTCCACTTGTTAGACTTTTTTCAGTAGATATGCAGAAATCAGGTGCAAATAATACGGTAAAAAGAAGCATCCAAAAACTACTGCCAACACCAGAGTTGAAGACTTCAGTTATAAAAAGACGAAAGGCCTTGAACTCTACTGCCCAAGTTGTCGTGCGAGACATATTCAATAAAGAGAAAGAGAAAATAAATGTGGTCAAATTGGCTAAACACATCTATTCTAAATAAATGCTAAATATATATTTTTGTTTTTGCATAAATGTTTTATTTTTATAAAGTTATAGAAATACATATGATTTATTGATAATTATTAACATTTATTTACAACATTAGGTAATTGGGCTTAATGGGAACAGGTGTTCCTAACTTGTCACTAAAAATCAAAAAAATTAAAAAACCAAAACAAGATTAATCAATTTTGGTGGCAATAGCCTAAAACCATTCTAAATGAAGTATATTTGATGCCCTAAAAATGTTATGTATTTTTGGAAATTACTAACAAAAATTCCGAAGCTTAAAGCTTAACGTGGCCTTATTTGGTACAGGTACCTTACTTGCAAGAATTGATTTTATTTTTACTACTATTTTCTCCTTAATACAAATTATTTAAGACTGTACGGCCTTTCTATAATAAGAATTACAATATCATATAGAAAAATGTTTCTGTAATGCTGTACATATTTGTCGATACAGGAGTGAGAAACCCCGGATGCAAACCCCTATTCTGTTACTTCAAAACATGTATTATATTACTTTTAAATGTATTTATATAGGAATTCTCATGAATATTGAGTTAAAATTAATTGTTTATTATTATATTTATTTAAAAATAATACTTTCTTGCACGCGTCATTAAATTTCTAAATTTCTCAAAATATTTTCTCTATTCTCTATACACATTTTTTTTTAATCTTAAAGACAATGCCATTATAATTTCTACGGTATAAATTAAATTTCTCTTGAAATTAGGATAAAACTCATTTTGGACTTATACAGTTTCGGAGAATTGTTGCAACAAATATGTACGACATTGTAATTTTCATTCTTTATGTTATACTCCTGAAAATTTGTAAATGCCGTATAGTTATTAATGACCCAAAAATGTAGTAAAAATTTAATGAAACATATTATCAGCTATGTAAAATCCACTAGTTAAAAATGTACGGCATTGTTTTTTTTTATTTTTTTACTTATGAAAAGTCAATTACAGCCATAATATTTTGAATATAACATTTTTAGTTTATAACAAGGAATTTTCAAAATATTGTAAATTTTCAAAATTTATTTATTTGTTTTTTAAATTTGTACCATTAATTATGACCGGCCATGATTTAGTACGATAGTTTTGGTTATATTTTATCAAAAAACTCGTTGCCGTTTAGGAATTAATGATCTTATCGAAAAAAATAAAACTCAATTCCAAAATACAAGTAATTGTTTATAAACTTTTGCATTAACCATAATTTTCAGACGGCATAGCTGCTAAGAATTATTTGGAGAGTTAAATAATCATGTGGAATCGATGGCGTACATTTTTCAATGACTTGAAACAATGGGGGCTAAAATAGAGGGTTGCGCCCTGCTTTTCTAACCCCTGTATCAGCAGATACGTACAGCGTCACTAAAAAAGTTATCTACATATCAATCCGAAATTTGTAGTATAAATGCCGTACTGTAGTAAATCACCAAAAACCGGGTCAAAATTTTCAGAAAATCAAAAATTTTCCTGGTTTCCGGTATTGCTATTTTTGTACGGTATTAGGTCCAGTTGGGGTTTTTGTATAACATAATATATCGTTTAGAAATGCCGATAACCATCCTCCTCCCCTCCTTCCTTAGTGGACAGGTTTAGATTACCTGTGTACTCACCTATACCAACAAGAATTGACGTTTCTAAAACTTCCGATGGGCTTGTAGTCCAGTAAAATTATCAAAATAATAATAAGAACGAATACTGACCTAATGGAGTAACGATGGCAAAAGTTCCAATATAAAGCAGCACCAGAAGAACCTTCGTCTTAGAAGTTACCAGTTCCACACCCACACAAAAAGCAATTACTAACTTATGGGTAGCAATAGCTGCAAATAAATACCAAACTTTATCGACACTACCCTCCAAACCCACAGCCAATCCCTCGAAGACGGCGTGGAAACTTAAGGCTAACACTGCCAAGAAACCAGTGAAAGAACTCTTTAGTGAATCGTTCATGTGATGATGAGCATGTGACTGTTTCTCTACATTAATAGTCGTCTGAGAATTAAACAATTCTTTGTTTGAGGTGCTGATGTAACTTATGCTTCCATCATCTAATTTCGTTAAAGTTACTCTGGGTATTGAGAGTTCGTCCTTTGAACTACAACTTTTCACTGATAAAGACCGATGTAGAGCGTTGTTGTGCACTTTCCTGTCTAGTAACATATGCACCGTCTCTTCTATGAAATACACGAAGAAAAATCCAAAACAGAACACTATTTCCGACAGTGGGATATTTTTTCCAAATTCGGGTATAGCGTCCCGTTTCCCCAAAGACTCAAAACTTTCTCGAACTTCAGGTTGTAGATGAATAAACGTTGTAAATAGTAAGACGCCACCACCGAAACATAGTAATAATGATATTAACAAGTTTTTATCTCCGTCCACTGATTTTATCGAAATTAGTTTTGTTAATTTTATCGGTAGAATTCCTAACAGAAACGAACAAACTCCTAAGACAGCCATTGATACGAATTTTGCTAACATCAGATCATTGTTTGCAGCTTCCTGCGCTGCCGAATTTTTTAATACACTCTCCATTTTGTATATAAATATATCACAGTGTTTATCACTATTACTCTATATGTATAGCTGCCTGCAAGGGTTTCAACTATCCAGTTAACAGTGCAGCGTCATCTTAACTGCATCTTACGGTAATCTGAAACAAAACAAATCAATGGATAAGCGTTGTTAAAGTTATTTTATATATTTCGTTATTTAACTATGCAACATATTTTGAAATAAAAGCAGATATACCTTAAATAATAAACAAATACACCACTCCTCCTAATGACCCACCATTACCATACTCGATAAGCATAAGCCAAACAATTTAATGTAATTCTCTACTTAACATTCCGATAATTTTCGCGTCATTTTAAAATAGTTGTTAACAATTTTAAGTACGTATAACTTATCAAGACCCTACATTCAAGGAAAATTATGCTTTAATATACTATATCGTAACTTTTACATTATCTTGAGTTTAACTTTGGAATTTATAAGCGTTAAGTTAAAACAGCAGGTATTCGGAAGATGAAAGTACAGCATTATACAGGGATGGCCAGAAGTACGGAATAAAATTCATATCTTTTAAGTTATTTTTTTTTAAAACGCCGAAACACGTTAACTGATTTTGATTTTTTCCCATCTTCCGGTTATATAATAATAAATTTTTCTTCAACCCCCTAACCCCCAGCTACCCCTACTTTTTTTTTCAAATGGAAACATAAGGCATGAGGGGGCTCGTTGAAAAGCTTATAGAAAACCGAATCCAGCCATACCAAATAAACAAGTTTTATTTTTTCAATAGCAAGTTTTTTTTCATTTAGAAATTGAAACAACTAGATAATTTACAAAAATAAACTCAATGTCGCAAATGCTGAAAATGTCCTCCATTCACTATTTGGCATTCTCCAAGACGATAGTAAAAGCTGTCCACAGCATTCTGAATGACTTCAGCTGGTAAATTATGCATCTCCGCCCTAATCTTGTTCTTTAAATTCTCAATATTATCCGGTCTGTCCTGGTAGACTCTTTCTTTCAAATATCCCCAAAGAAAATAATCCAGGGGTGTTAAGTCGGGGGATCTTGGCGGCCATTCAACTGTACCCCGTCTACCAATCCAGCGATTTGGAAACATTTCATCTAAGTATCTTCGAACATCAATACCAAAATGTGGGGGAGCGCCATCTTGTTGGAACCAAATTCTTTCATTCGGTATATCTGGATCAATTTCATGAGGGAAAATCACAGCTAGAGCAGGTATCAGGTCAAATGTTAGGAAATCCAGGTAGCGTGCGGCAGTAAGATTTTCTTCAAAAAAGAATGGGCCCAAGATTCTGTTGTTGATGATACCTGCCCATACATTAACTTTTTGTGGATGCTGCGTATGCGATTCGCATGTCCAGTGTGGATTTTCCTGGGACCAAAAGCGATAGTTGTGCCTGTTAACCACTCCATTTAAATAAAACGTAGCTTCATCCGAAAAAAGTACGTCTCGTTGAAAACCATTATTGTCGTCACACCGTCTCATCATTTCCTCACAAAATTGTAATCGCCTATCATAATCGTCTTCCAAAAGCTCTTGGACAAGACATACCTTATAGGGGTGGTATTTCTCTTGTTTCAGAAACATTCGAATTGCAGTTCGAGAAGCATCGTGATTGCGGGCCAATGAAACAGTTGAAGTATGAGGATTTTCAACAAGTTCTAATGCAATGTCTAATTTCTTTTCTTCATTCAAAGCACGTGCCCGTCCAGTTTTGGGCAAAGTCTGTACTGTACCGTGTTCCTCAAATTTGTGAAATATTTTACTAACTGTCCCTTGCGAGATTTGGTTTTCGGGATATTTCGCATTAAATAAATCGCGCACTTCAGCCTGACTTCTTATTTTGTCTCCACATCCAAGCAATATCAAGATTTCGATGCGTTGCCTTTCCGACAATACCATTGCAATTCAGTAAATAACTTGATTTTGACACAATAGTAACGTTTCGAACTCCAATTTACAACTAAAGCGAAAAATTAACCAGAAAGCCTGGCAAGTAAGTGGTGCCAAAAAAACGCAACATAAAAAATATATCTTTTTTGCGTTAGCAGTGATAGGTACAGTTTCAAATTCTTTATTTTATTCTGTGCAAATTCATGGAGGATAACACTGAAGATAATTAAATTTTATTTCACTTGTTAAGTAGGTGTTTTATACAACCCTAAAAACCTTGCTATTGAAAAAATAAAACTTGTTTATTTGGTATGGCTGGATTCGGTTTTCTATAAGCTTTTCAACGAGCCCCCTCATACCTTATGTTTCCATTTGAAAAAAAAGTAGGGGTAGCTGGGGGTTAGGGGGTTGAAGAAAAATCAATTATTATATAACCGAAAGATGGGAAAAAATCAAAATCAGTTGTGTTTCAGCGTTTTAAAAAAATTTACCCATTCAAAAGATATGAATTTTATTCCGTACTTCTGGCCATCCCTGTATGTTAACCTGCAAATACAAATGAGCGGAAATCATAAGACGCGCATAGCAGGCTACGAATTGTGTGTGTATTTAATTCGGAATCAGTAAAAACGGTGAAATTAGATGATGTACAGCTTTTACATGAACAAACATTTCTTACATTAGTAATTTAAGTTTATAAGGATTCTCTGTGAACAAGGAATATGCCTTTTACTAATGTGGAAGCGTATGATATGTTGGCATTTTTTTTTCAATATTTGAAAAATGCCGTTATAGCTTCAAGAGAATACGCTTTGCGATACCCTCGTAGAATACGCTACTCCAGAGAAGTATTTCAGTGTTTAGCCAGATGCCACTACATTCTGTAAGAAAATTTCGCAGTGCAAGAACGTAAGATAATATTATTGTGTTAGTTTGTAAATCCCTAAATAAGTGTTAGAAAATTAGTTAAGAGTCCTGAGAATTTCATAAGGAACACAAGTACTTTTCTCACACAAATGACACTAATTTTCTACGAAGCAAGAGCTGTCACATATCGTTTGATATTATTTTTCATTTGTGCATTTACTTGGCCTGCCTCGTTATGGAAACAATAAATCTTTATAAATGCTCAGATATTTGGAATTAATAAAAAAATGAAAAAATGTACCCACATATTAAAAAAATTGCTTGATATAGTTTTTGGCTTGGACTGTCAATGTTATTCAAGCACAATTTCACTACTTTACCAATAACCTGAAAACGAAAAATGATATCGACCTCCGGTTTGTGTATTTGTTTTCCTTAATAAATGATCTATTAAGCCTTGGAAATAACTATAACGATACATTTAATTTTTTTAGTAGTCGATGAAATGAAGCACTAAAAACGGCCTTATCTCCGAAATCTGTGCAGTAAGATGGATCGTGATGCAGCTTTTTGCATTCGATTCGTTAGAGCGTCCAGAAAGTTTGTGACCCTATGTGATCAATGAGAAATGAAAATTGCATCGGTGCATAAGAAAAATGCATTTTTAAAATTGCACTCGAAGAGTTAAAAAGTAAAAAATTTTTACTTTGAAAATATTGACGGAAATGAGTTCAATTTTGCTACTCGGGGGTTTTTTGGGGTCACTGAACACGAATATCACGATGGCAACGATCTCCGCGGTACCTAGTGCCTATAGATATATAGGCACTAGGCCAAAAATAAGAAGTTTGGCATCGGCAACACTTGAAAAGAGTATACTGCCTATATGGGGACGAAAATGGTTTGAATCCGACAGACTGGGGATGGGATTAAAACAACAAACCTTAGTTCCCCTAAAAATGACTCAGTTACCTGGTCCACGAAGTATCATGAATTAGGTTTTCTGTGGGTGCAAAACTGCAGCATCGCGTGCAAAAATTGTGCTGGCATTAATTGCACGAATAATGAAAATATTCTGCAAATGACATATTTTCTTCGGAACTGGAAACACTATATGAAGAAGATGAAGAAGATAATAATGAAAATTAAAAAATTAAATAAGAAACATTAAAATTGTAAAGATATCTAAGTATAGATAATATTTTTTTGAAAACATGTATTTTTTGTAATGAATAAATGTATTTTTATAATAGGAAATAATTAAGAATAAAATAGTTGTCACAGAAACCAGCCCCTGGGTACTAGGTACCTCTAGGACCGTTACCGTCGTGATATTCGTGTTGAGCGACCTAGAAAACCCCGAGGTAACGAGTTTCGGCTAAGTTTATAACAAATTTCCACAAAACTCCAGGAGACGACGTGGAAACCGGCCACTCTGGGCACTAGGTACCTCGGAGACCGTTGCCGTCGTGATATTCGTGTTCAGCGACCCCAAAATCCCCCGAATAGCAAAATTGAACTCATTTCCGTCAATATTTTCCGAGTTATAAATTTTTCATTTTTTAACTCTTCGAGATGCAATTTTAAGAATGCATTTTACTTATGCACCGATGCAATTTTCATTTCTCATTGATCACAAACTTTCTGGACGCTCCAACGAATCGAATGCAAAAAACCGCATCACGATCCATCTTACTAAACAGATTTCGTAAAATAAAGAACTAAAAAGAAGTGACCACCTGCTAAAGTAGGCCTGAGGTACCAAATGGTACTTGACGAAACTTTAATGGCGGATTCTATGTCACAAATGAATGAAAAAAATTTCATGTATACATGTGTCGACAATTATTTTCGAGACTTACAGGGTGTTTCAGAAAGACTTCCCGTAAATACAGGAGAAATACCCCCTGTATTTACGGGAGGTCTTTCTGAAACACCCTGTATAGTATTAAATATTTAAAAAAATGTACTGTAAGGCCCTCTCACGTATGTATTTTTTACCTTCTTGCATTTTTTGCACTTATTAACATTTTCTGGAGGACATTTATCCATTTTATGTTTTCCTAATTAAAATAAATTATGTACTAGGTATTAAATTAATATTTTACCACCCCATCCAACAAAAAAAAAAAATAAACCCAGAGCATTTTGATTTATTACAACACTTATTCCATATTTTTTTCTTTCCTTTTTTTCTTGGAATCACTTTCTTCTAAACAAAGAAAATAAACAGTAAATTCTATTCCTTACAAATAATTTGATTAGAATTTGTTGTTCCGAATCTTTTGAAATGTTTCTTTTATGGAACATAAGAAAAGCAGTTAAACATTCAATACTCAATAGTGTTT